TTGGGTCGGGGAAAGTGGTGGTGGGAAAATGGAGACAACTGTATTTGAACATTAATAAAAATAATTAAAAAATAAAAGTAGCTCCACACTGAAATATAAAAAAACAGATATTTACCATGATCATGATGTTCAACATTATCCTAAGCACCTTACACACATTTTAATCTAGTTATCACAATATCCCTCCAAAGTACATAGATATCTCCATCCACATTTTACAAGCCTGAGAAATCTGGGATTAAAAGAAGTTAAGTGACTCACTCCCTAATGATAACAAATATTTCCTAAGGTCAACATTCTTAAGAAAGAAAAGAGAATAAAAGAAAGAGATAACATAAAGTCAGTAATTATTACTAAAGTATTTGTATTTGAAAAGAATTGAAGAAAGAAGTGCAGAGATGTGCTAGAGTTTATTATAAAAGAAGTAGCTTTAAAAATATGAGGTGTTTTGGAACAGGTGGGCCTGTTTTGCCAGACATTTACATTTATTTACAAATATACACACAGAAGTGACATCTTGGTGCTGATGTCTTGTAGATGGAAACGTCCAGGGCACCTTCTAAATGTAGGCAACATGTGCCAAAACAGCAAGTTCTAAAATATGTGACAATTAGAGGAGACAATTTAGCTGGCTGTTAATGATTAAAGGAACAGAAGGTGATGCCTTGAGATCTTGTATAGGAATGCCCTGATTAAGATTTAGGTTGTTTCCCTGGCTGGTGTGGCTCAGTTGGTTGGAGCATCGTCCCGTAAACCAATAGGTCACCAGTTTGATTCCTGGCCAGGGTACACCATAAAGTATCTGAAATTAAAAATTAGAGTATATCAAAATAGTGCCATTCCTGCTTAAGAGTTATTAAGAGTTAATATACCAAGAATTTATTGTGAGAGGCCTTATATAATTAGGGCCTTAGAATAGCAAGTTGAAAGTCTGAAATAAAATTTAAAACAAGACTCCCTTTGACTGACTTATAGCATCACTTCCTAGATATTGAACTTCTTTGTAAGAAAAAGTCACAATAGGATCTTTTTTGAAATAAAAATCTAAAACAATTTACATCTTATAGTTTTGTCAGTTAAATGTCAGCCCATTCCTTTTGAAAAGTAGATTTGCTGAGAATTACCAGATAGCAACAATGTTATATATGAAAGTTTATAACCCCTGAATAAACTACATGTGGAAAGCTTAAAAACCAATAGTACAGACAGATACCAATATGAAAACATTAAGTACTGGATATTTAAGAACAATTTATATGAGTGCCAGAAGTCATTTAGTTATGATGACAAGGTGACACAGATAAGACAAATACAATATGCTACTTTTGTCTGGGTTAAATATCCAATGGAAATAAGGAAGCTTCACTTTCAGCCCTTCAGAGGAGTCTTAGTATCATCTCTTGGTAATTATTTCTTTGTGTATGAGGTATTTGCATAAAATAAAATGCAAAGATTTAAATTGTAAAATTCAGTGAGTTCAACAAATATAACATACACTTATTTAGTCAACATTCCAATTAAGATATAGAACATTTTCAATACAACAGCAACTTTTCCTGAGCCATTTCTAGTCAATATCCTACTCCTCAATGGCAACCGCTGTTCACAATACAGTAGAACTTTATATATAAATAAAATTTACAGTATATAATTTTTCATATCTGGCTTCTTTTTCTCAACTTTTTCTTTTCTTTATTTTTTAAGATTCATGTTTCAGTAGTTCATTACTCTGTATTGTTGAAAAATACTCCATTACTTCAGCATACTTCTCTTTATTCTACTGTCAATGTACATTATGGTTTCCAGATTCTGGCCGTTAAGAATATAGATGCTATAAACACTCATATTCAAGTCAGTGTGTATATTGATGTTTTTATTTCACTTGGATAAATATCTTGCAGTGGAATTTCTGGGCAGAAAGGTAGGTATCTGCCCAGAAATAGTATATGCTTAATTTTATAAGAAAATATTAAAAAATGTTCCAAAATGGTCATGACACTGTACGCTCTTATTAGCAATATATGTGGATTTAAGTTGCTCCACGTTTTGGCTTACATCTGATGTATGAGGCTAATTTGGTGCTTTTAAAGTGTCTTGAACTAAAATATTTTAAGAACTTAATGTGTAGGCATATTTTGGTCTTAAGGGTATATGTTCTTAGAATATAGAGAGTATAACTCAGTTACATTTCCATTAAAATTTAGTAAATTACTAAAATAAATTTAGGAGAAATGACATGAGTCAGCTTTAAAAGCAAATCAGTAAAATAACAGTAAGTAGCCCTGGCTGGTGTGGCTCAGGGAACTGAGTGCCTGCCTGTGAACCAAAGGACTGAAGTTTGATTCCCAGTCAGGGCGCAAGGCCAGGTCCCCAATAGGGGGCACACGAGGGGCAACCACACATTGATGTTTCTCTCCCTTTCCTTCTCCCTCCCTTTCCCCTCTCTGTAAAATAAATAAAATCTTTTAAAATTTATTTTTGAATATTAACAAAATAATAACAGTAAGTAGAAAGCATGTTTGATAGAAAAGCAAAGGAAAAATAGGTAATTTCATTTAAAAATAAGTAGAAAAATACAATTTTGAAGTGTATCTTGATATAAAAAAATTGGAAGTTTTCTTTTTTATGATTTAGGAAAAGAAGTTGATAAAAAATGTGTCCAATTACTGCTCTCTTAATTAGTCTCAATTCTGCAATAGAACATTTGTGAAACAGTATCTGCTGCTCCCAAGAGCTTAAAAGATCAATACCCTAAATTATATTCTTCTAAAGAAGAAGACAATATGTGTTGGAAATGACTATACTAAATAAAACTATACATACTTTTCATTTGTTATATTTATGACTATATGACATTTAGCCACATGTAATTTTATAATAACAATGTGTCTTTCAAAATAATCCCTATTGTGGGATCATTTTAACTGCTCCCATTGTCATAAACTAGGAAAATGCCAACACTGCAGCTCTAGCCCACTCCATACACATGATATAAAATAGCTTCTACTTCATTATTTTAATGAATCTCCCACAAGAACAACTTCACTATGTCATCTTCAATTTTGTCATTTTCCTTTGAGCTGTCTTTCATTAGATGACCCAATATGTTACTTCCTAAAGATTTATCTGACATGAATTCAGCATTTTTCCACATCATCAACTTGACAGTTTTTCCTCTGTATCAATTCCTTGATCTTTCCTCATTAGCTTAAGTTCTACCTAGAGCTAGTGCTTCATTTTATATTTGTATTTCATTTCTTCCTGATTTTCTGTAGATCTGAGTACCATTCAAAAATCATCTTCCCAGTACATTTTTTTCCTACAAAATCCAAATTTTGTTTTTCATGAGTTCTCTTTTTGAACCCAACTTTCCAAGAAGTATACCTTTAAGTCTTTAAGTCTTGCCTGTTCCTGTGTAGGGATTTGCACCAGTACAGAGATACATATATGTAATTTATTACATGGAAAATGCTAGTATGATGTTACTTTTTGATCATCCCCTATCTGTTGACTACATTCTCTCTGGAAACTTTATCTTACGTCAACTTTAACCTCAGTCTCTGAGACTCCCTGTGTAATGGTATTCTGATCTATTGACACTTGGCTCAAGATCTGAAATCTGTCCAACAATGATACTTGCCATTTCTGTGGCCTTTACCCACTTTGTTACCTAATGTTTTCCCTGCATTCCTAATTTTTAACCAGCTTCTTGATCTTGAACTCTCATACTCAAATTCAATTTATTTCAACAGATGCTTTTGGTATTCCCACTAAGTGCCAGGGACTATGATAAGCCCTGACAACACAATCTTGAGAAATTATTCACATTTTTCCAAGCATTGATGCCTTTGTTTTCTTTCCACTTCCCTATGGCCTTAACCTCTGCCAGCTGGCTTCCATCATCATTGCTCTACTGAAATTGTTCTCTCGATGGTTGCCAATAGTTTCCTTGTTCCAAAATTAAAGTTTTTCAAAAAATTAATATTCTCTTTCTTCTTGACTTTTCTCCTATTTTGGCTTTGTTCAGCACCAACTTGCAACTCTGCTGCCTTGTCTGGTCTACTACAATGCATTGGCTGTACTCCAACCTCTACAAGCACATTTTATTTTCCTTGATGTTATTTTACTGATTCATCCAACTAAGTTTGTCTAATATTAGGTCTTGATTTTCTGCTCTCACTTTGCACTGTCTTCCTAAAACAAAACACACAATAATCAAAAACATCAAACTTTAAGAGTTAAACTAATGAGGAAGTATTGAATATATTTTATTCATCTTGTTTTGTTCATTCATCAGAAACATTTTATTTAGTCTGCTTTTTACCTAAACTTTGTGCCTGTAAAATAAAGAGGTTGGTTAAATCTTTAAGTAATGCTGATATTTAAATTTTTTATGGCAGTGCAATAGTAAATCCAACTTGTCTCTCAAGTTTTGCATTTAAACTTATATTTTCTTGCTTGCCTTAAGCATTTTTATTTCCACTGAGATGTTGTAATCACAAAGTGTTCTTAATTTTATACATCCATATTTTAATGAATTGCTTTTTCTTCTAATCCAATCTCTCTATATACATATATCTACATTTTTATTAGTATTATCTTGAACTTGGACTTGAGTAAGCAACACCTATTTGGGAAATACATGATAAACCCTGCCTTTCTTTGACACATTATCATTGTTTCAGTCATTCAGATGGAATTGTGAAGTAATATTTGAGTTTCTTTTTCTTCACTTTCAGATGAAAGTAGTTGGCAAATTCTCTGTATTTAGTTTGAATAATAAAAGCAACAAAAGCAATAATATCTAATTTCTGGTATTATAATATAAATTGGAAGTTTATAGTGTTTCCTCCCACATTTTATCTCATTAAATAGCTAGGAGATGGATATGCAAACATATCATAGTAGTAACTCATCACTGTTCTGTGAACTTGATGTAATAGCCCCATTTAACAGATGGGTATGCTAAAGCTAAGTAATTTTTTTCTTTTACATGGAAGCAGTGTCTAGACTATGCATGCAAAAGAGATTGAAAGGTTGTTCCACCTCCATTCACAGTGGCCTGATGTTATTTTATCCCATGCGTATAACTGCTCATGTCACTGGAAAGACTATAGCAGCAAATAAATGGGAAAAAAGTAATTTTTTAAAAAAATATTTTATTTATTTCTTTTTAGAGAGAGGGGAAGGAAAGGAGAAACATCAATGTGTGGTTGCCTCTCATGCGCCCCCTGCTGGGTAACCTGGCCAGCAACCCAGGATTGTGCCCTAACTGGGATCAAATAGGCACCCTTGGTTCACAGGTCAGTGATCAAGCCACTGAGCTACACCAGCCAGGGCAGAGTTAAGTAATTTTTAGTTCAGGATTTATGCTAACCGTATTATGCCATATAACACTGCTTTGTGGCATACAGTGAGTCCAAAATTTGCTTTTTTCCTTTCCATAACTACTATTTATGTAATTTAGGTGTAATTATCTCCAGCCTGAATGAGTACAAGTTCATTTTGCATAACCACACCTTTGCTATTTCTCCACACTGCTCTGCTCATTGTTTCATTCTCTGTTGTATTACTTTCCATTTAAAATAGTCTATTTTTTTCTGATTGTAAAATAGATAAAGAGATCCCAAATGCCAGAAGATGTTTTATGTGCTGTCTTTTGGTATTTACTACTCTGGAATAAAAATCCAAGATTCTTTTAAATTTGTTTTTGGAAAATCTCCTTTTTTCTTAATTGAATATTTGTAGAAATTTATTTGCATTTGCATGAGCTTATGTCTAATTATTGGAATATTTTGTATGTTTTTAGTTACTTGTTCATATCTCTCTTCTCTCCTTCACAACTCATATAACAAGTTTATTTTAACTCTTGCATTCATTCCTATTTCACTAGAAATGTTTTCTCATTTTAACTTGTGAAAAGTGGTAAAAAGGGGAATGAGACAAAATACTCTGAAGATTAATAAAGAATTTATCATAATACGTTAGAAAAATCACAATAAACAAAATGAAAGAAATGACATAAAGAGATTTTGAACAGAATGAAAGAGAAAGCTAAAGTACAGTAGAGAGTTTCAGCAAAGTCAAAAGTTAGGTTGCTAAAAAGACAAATAAGATCAAGACTAATAAAAACAAATCACCCAAAATTAAAAAAAAAATAGATAAACCTCTGGGGAGTGACTTATACAATGTACTGGTCTTTACTGGCTAATCTCTGTCTTCTTTCGATGCTTACTTTAAGATGGAAATATTTAATGACTATTTCCCAATAATATGTAAATATACTATGGAGTCTAAATTTATTCTGAATTTAAATATATAATTGGGACTAATGATATGAAAGCTAAACATTGTAGAATAGAATTTGCCAAATAATAAAGAAAGATTATTTTTCTACTTAGGCAATTTATCTGGTCTTAAGACCTCTTAAGTTTAAAACAGTCTAGAGGAAAATGAATCATTTTGATTCATTTAGGTGGTACAAAATTTCAGAACAATAAATATTTGTTGAGTGAAGCACTTGATATAGTAAAACACTTGAAAACCTTCTCTCTCTAGTGCTTTAAGAGAAGTCCCTGGTCAAGCTTCAGGAAAGATGTTAAACCATTGGATTTGAATATAAAATGAGATTCAAACAAGAATTATATGGGTCAAAAATTCTAAGAACTACATGAAGATTTTATAGATAAAGATGCTGCTCTGTATGCATGTTTATCTCTGTGTGTGCTTATGTGTGTGTGCAGAGTAGCAAGGCAAGACACAGACGATGCGGTGTCTTGTGTTAGTACACACAGATGACACTGGTGTTTGTGAATTCTCTATTTTCTGATTTTAAAAAAGCAATATATGTGTGTGTAGTTATTTCTTTATCTCACCAACAATATATTTCACTAATTGCCCCTTTCATGATGTGTTGGCACACTTAAGACATCATTTGTTCAATTAAACAGAATAATTTCATTTAACTACCATTGGAGCATTCCTGAGGAAAACTTTGTAATTACTCTCTTAATTCCACCTTTAACAGTGGCGCACATACTCATTTGCATGCTAACTACTCATCACATCATATAAAATTTAGCATTTGCATGCACCACTAAATAAGGAAGGTCAAAATGTATCACATTTTATGGACACCAAAGTCATGATTTTCAATTGTTCTTGCACCAGCGAAATTTGTGGTTTTGGGGCAATACAACCTCTGTGGTTGGGTCATGGGGGCCAGATCCTGCTTATACGAAGGCTCCTGCCCTGCAAAAGCAGCACTGCATGAGTATTTTACTGAGGTTCCTTTTTTTCTGCAATCAAAAGGTGAAAAACATTAGACTGACTTTTATTAAAGCTGTTATTCATATTTGTGTGTGTGTGTGTGTGTGTGTGTGTGTGTGTGTGCATGTGAGAGAGGGGAGAGAAAGAGAGAGATTGCTATAAAATGAGACCCTCTAGCTCATTAATATTCTAGAGCATGGGTAACAGATTCAGAACGCTGTTTCAATGGTATACAAACATTATTTCCTCTGTTGTTAATTTATTTAAAAGTTATATTTTTGCCATGTTGAGTCAGAAAGAGCTAGATTCTACGAAGAGGATAAAATGAGAAACAAGTGGGGTTTTGGGCGTGGTGTATGCACAGTATCCCAAAAACACCAGGGTCCACCATTCCTTTCATTTCATGGACCATATGTTCTGCTTTCCTGTGTAGGGAAATACAACACAATGACATTTGGAAGGCTTTTCCTGCCCTTAATTTTTCTAAATCCCTGCCTTAAATAAAGTTGAAGTATTAGAAGTGATAAGGACATATATAAGCATGATTTTTGACTAGCATCAGTACTAGACTTTCAATATAAAAACATTGGCTTTACATTTCATTTGCAATTAACTCAGTATAAATGAGTTTTGAAGCCTGTGCATTAAGCAGACTTCAATGAAATAAGCTTGCAAAAATACATGTTTATTTCTTAAGTCAAGAAATTTATCTTTTGTAAAAAAATAAAGGTAAGCACTCATTAACCCCCAAATCAGAGTGAAATTCAATGTAGAGATTTGGAAAAAATAAAAATGTACTTGATAATTAAATTTGGCCTGATCTTGCTTACTTGCTTAATGAGCATGGTTATTTCAATTAGGAAGCATGCTGGGTATCATGACATAATCATGACCCAGATATGTGAGACTGACTTTTAAATGCCTCCATCTCTCTAATTAATACACATCCCCTCACCTTGAAATTTGAAAATAAGTGTAGCATCAATGGGTACCAAGAGTGTTAAGAAGTGTAACCATAGCATCATTAAGTGGTATCTGAGGAAAATACAGTGAAAGTGACATTTACCTTAAAAAGTCCAAAATTTGTTTTAAATATTGTTGGAACTTATTTCCCACTTTAAAAATAATGTTCTGTTTCACATTTAATGTGGGTCATTGATTAGTAGATAAAATGTACTTCTGCCAAGAGTATATAGAATATTTCACAGCTTCCAAAAGAATTGTGCTAATCTGGTAGCCACTAACCACATGTGGACATTTAAACTTCAATTAATTAAAATTAAATAGAGTTTAAAAATGAAGTCCATAGTTCCTGATTTTTCAGTGTTTATTATACACATATGGCTAGTATTTTCTGTATTGGGCAGGATAAATACAGAGCATTTCAATGTGGCTGATAGTTTTCACAGACAAGGTTTTCTATCAGAGTAGAGTACTGAAAAGCATTTCAGAAGAAACATTCAGAACTTCAGGAAGTGTTAAAATGGCAGAATTATTTAGCATGGAAGAAAGAAAGAGATCTGGCTTCATGATGGTTTGAACAGAAAGGCTACAAAGAGAGGCATCCAACAGTTTTCATATAGTAGGTTGGGAAAGGTGAAACTGATTTCAGATACAATAGAGGGATTTAGGTTAAACAAAAAAAGTGAAGGTTATTAAAAATAAATGATTTACAGGAATCTTCCCCTTCATGGCTATCTCTAAGAAAGCCATATACATAGTGAAATTTGTGAATATTTATCACAGATATTTAAATGAAATGTTTAGGTATTCTTTGTAAACTCAGAGAGATGAAGTTATTCTTTTTTTTTTTTTAGTAGAGTCATATGAGTTCTTTTTTTTTTTTATTAATCATTGGTCATATACAGTTTTCTCCTTTTTACTCCCAATCAAGTCCCCCCTCCCACCCTCCCCACTTCCCTCCCATTACCACCCTCCCCTTAGTCTATGACCATGTGTCCTTTAAGTTTGTTCCTGTGAACCCTTCCCACTGTCCCCTTAAATTCCCTCTTCTCTCCCCTCCGGTCACCATCAGCCTGTCCTCTATTTCAGTGTCTTTGGTTACATTTTGCTTGTTTCTTTGTTTTGCTATTTAGGTTCCTGTTAAAGGTGAGATCATATGGTATTTGTCTTTCACTGCCTGGCTTGTTTCGCTTAGCATAATGTTTTCCAGCTCCATCCACGCTGTTGCAAAGGGTAGGAGCTCCTTCTTTCTTTCTGCTGCATAGAATTCCATCGTGTAAATGTACCATAGTTTTTTGATCCATTCATTTACTGAAAGGCATCTTGGTTGCTTCCAGCATCTAGCTATTGTAAATTGTGCTGCTATGAACATTGGGATGCATAGGTTCTTTTGAATTGGTGTTTTAGTATTCTTAGGATAGAGTCCCAGCAGTGGAATTGCAGGGTCACAAGGCAGATCCATTTTTAGTTTTCTGAGGAAGTTCCATATTGCTTTCCATAGTGGTTGTACCAGTCTGCAGTCCCACCAACAGTGCACTAGGGTCCCCTTTTCTCCACAACCTCTCCAACACTTGTTGTTTGTTGCTTTGTTTATGATGGCCATTCTGTCTGGTGTGAAGTGGTAAGAGAGATGAAGTTATTCAATCAATCAATATTTATTGGGTGGGTTCTATATTATACGCAATGTACAAGAGAGAAGTTATACAAGGGGAAACTCCCCCAAAACCAGAATTTATTTATAAAAAAATGTGTATTTATTCTTAGATGTTTAAACTTCAGTCACCTTTAATATACTCTCAATTTGGTGCAATACACCTATTGAGATACTTTTTTCATTGCTCAAAACAGTTTTTGAGCTTGTCAACTTTGATGCCTTTTAGTGCTTTTGCTGTTTTATGTTTCA